ATAAATAAGGTGATAGCGGACAGCCTTGTCTTATACCTGTATGTTGAGTTAGCAAATCAGAATCATTCCCATCCATACTAACTTTAAACTGCGGGTCCCTATAGAAACTTTCGATCAAGTTCGTAATTTTGTTTGGTACTTTCAGCCTTTTCAGGGTTTCAATAAGTTTATGTTGAAAGATCTTGTCAAAAGCCTTTTCCCAATCTAAGAGTACCACAGTGCTGCTACAATTCGATGTTTCTGCCATATCTTGCAATCTTCTGGCTACGTAAATTGCTTGGCTAGTGCTCTTGGCTTTGCGGAACCCATATTGAGTTTGCATGAGCCATGCGTCTAAACCCATGTCTAGTCTTTCTTTAACTAGCGCAGCAACGATCTTGTAGCATGACGTCAACAATGAAATCGGCCTATAATTTTCAAGGGAAGTAGAGTCACCTTTCTTGTAAATCGATACCACCACGGCTTTGAGGATTTGTTCGGGGACTTCTCCTCCTTCAAGACATTTGTTTGCAGCATTCAATATCAAATACTTGTTATCTTTGTCTAACCATTTGAAGAGCTCACCAGGTACTCCATCGTGGCCAGGCGTCTTTAGAGATTTAATTCGTCGACATACATAATCCAATTCATTAAGGGTGAAAGGGGATTCATCCACAACATATGAACCATTTTGCAGTGGAATGTTCTCTCTAGACGGCTGAGGAGGGACTGAGGTTGACGAAAAGGAACCACCCCATTGGATTGTAGATAAGTATTCGGCAGCTTTTTGTGGATAGTCAGCTTGGTGGATGTATGTACCGTCCTTGTTCTTGAATTTTGTGAATTTAGGAGTAAATTTGGCACGGAGACGTTTGAGGCCACTCCATTTATATCCTTGTGCTGTAACTGCTTCTAGTTCTTCAAGGAGGTGGTTTTCTTTATCCTTTTTGGTTTGTGCTGTAATATCTTTGCTAATCGACTCAGCTACATCCCATTGTTGGTTTTCAATAGCTTGCCACTTCTGCTCTAAAAGAGCCCATGTGCGTTGCGATATGTACTCCTTCTTTTGTTCGGGGGGTTGTATAGGCAAGTAATCCATAGCGGATTGGAGAAGAATTGCATTCAACAGGTCAAAGGTTAAATCCGCACCATTACTGTTTTGCATTTCCTGCAGAGCTTGACTGGCGACTGCAGCATTGAAATGACTTAATTGAATGTTGTCTGGTTTACGTAGCTTCATCTTCGAAGTGTTCACTTTTGGAGGGTTGGCCTTCAGCTGAAACTTCACACTCGCAATCAAAAGTTTGTGATCTGTATCTACAGTATGGATGTAGGACGTGTCAACGTTTTTGATGGCATTCTTCCATCGATTGTTTATAACGATATAGTCCATTTGCGCATATTTATGTAGCTGCCACGGCGGTGACCAATGTTGTACTCCAACAGATTTATAAGTGACAAGATGGTCATCTGCTTTCTGAAAGAGTGTATTTGAAACGACGAAACCGTATTCAAGACAGAACTCAACCATACGAGACCTATTTTGAAGTTGCGCAGCGCTCAATATATCAAGATCGTGAGTTTGTGCCCCTAGTGTAAACTGTCCTATTGCACTTGTTTCATGCGGCAGCGCTTTGATAAGTCTTGCATTGAAATCTCCACAAATGAGCTAAGGAGAGAAAGTGTAACGATCCTCGATCAAAGTCTGAAGCTCATGATAATGTTGATTCGCTAGCTCCGGATTGGAATGACAGGCTTGGGGAACGTACGTGGAAATTACATCTAGGGTGCCTGCACGCATCTTTAGGGACACGCGCATATTACGACCACTAACCGGTTGTATCGAAATCAAATATTTGACCGCGTGAGGAGATAACACTATGCCAACGCCTGCATGTTCAACAGCATCTCTGAAGATAGCCCATCGGTTTGGATTGCTTCGTGCTGCTCTACCCGATGTTGCTAGCTGAGTCGCTTTATTTCTGGCATCATCTGGGATGTCAGTGGACCAGTAGAACTTGTATCTTAAATGAGTTTTTTTGGAATTGTGGTTGATTTTGGTTTCCTGTAGACATAAAACGTCGATCTTTTCTTTAACCATAAGATGTATGGTTCTTTCTCGTTTAGATGCTGAAGATAAACCTCTACAGTTGAGGGAAGCGATTTTAAATTCTTCAAGGTGTTTGTTTCTTCTGCAATACAGCTGACTGGTAATCTGTAACCTCCGATGTTATACTGCATGCATCTTCCAAGCTTGATTCGGGTGTGTCTGACATGATGCGTGTTTTGATTTGGGGATGTGCGCTGTTTTGTGGATTGTATAAACCTGCTGGTTCTGGAGCTAGGAAAGCATTGGCCTGACTAGCCAGGTCGATGGCCTGCTTTTTGACACGACGGTACATCACGCGATGAGCACTACGCGTCAATGCACGGTTAACTTTGCGTCTTATGCGTGCTACCTCGCTTCTACACTTACGGTGTTTCTTGGGGCTCGCATGTTGGTTACCGCTATCTGGTGCAGCGCGGCTTTCCCGCATCACCTTTGGGGGGTCTGCTGGCGTCAGTGGGGATGTTAATATGTTGACTCGTGCTTTATCAGGGCTTGTACAGTGTCTTTCCGGGGCTAGCGATTTCATGACATATGCTTGATTATGGAGCGACAGGTGGTGTGCCGTTAGGGGAACAATACTGGGTGTGTTGAGTTGTGATGTACGAGAGTACCGCGAGATTACCTCGAGAGGCCTTGCGGCCTTGTGGCGCCTGCCATTTTGATTTTCTTCCGCTGTGCCTGCATCAAGCTGCAAAATTATATTAGGTTTATTAAAGCCCCAAAAAGGGTAAAGGGTACCTACTCAGCCCCTAAGACTCAGAGTAGAAGGGGTTCCTCTGTCACAAGATGGCATGCCCATAGCATTTTTGTGATTGGATTGTACAGATTCGAGTCTGTCGTTGCTGGGACGTCCCAAACATCCTGAAACCCCGTGCACCCTCAATCCTTCCCTGAGCACCCGGCAGGTACTTGGTCGGTGCAAACTGCGGCTGCAAGCCTGGGCATTTCGAAGCGTTTTTCGAGCATCTGGGGGAGCAGCCTGCGCCAAGCCTTTAGCTCCAGCCCCGAACCCTGAGCAGGCCCTGCTTGGGGCCCCCGGAATCAGTTCAGGGTTCAGGGGCTCAGGCCCTAAACTTAGAGAACGAAGACCTCGCTGAGTGCAGACCAGAGGCGATTCACCGGAGGATAGGACCTGGGAAGCCACCAAATGTCGGTGGCTCATGGGGGAGCTCAAGAACAGGGAACCGTAGTAGAGTAGGATGTCCCTATGACCCTCGGGTAAGAGACGCCTAATTTAGAGAGACCCTACATAGCAGAAGAGATAAGTTCGCAAAGACCTTAGAACTTAGCATGCCGGCTTGGGATTGAGGTTTGTTGAGGTACCTTTAAACTTAAAACAAGTTCAATTACTTAGTCCGTAGGGTCCTGGCCTAAACTCCGATTTGGAGTTCAGAGGGGCGCTTCCACAAAAGTCAAATGGGGCACTTACTCAGGTTATTTTTGGCCAAGTTATAGCGGTTGGAGGCAAGGCGATAAGCACCCCAACAGGTAGCGCAGACCCTACCTCTACATTCCCTAAACCCTGAACTGCCTATTTCTGGATTCTACTTTTCGAGACCTCCCCATTCTTGAACCCGACCAAGCTCTTATGGCTTAGGGTCTAAGCTTTAGGATTACCAAGGTTTAGGGCTTAAGCTTTAGGGTGACTCTGAATTAGGGTTTAAGGGGACAGCTGACCCGAAACCACTTCCGAAAGAGCATCGTAAGGCAAGGCAGGCTCCCGAAATCCAATCCTCAGAGCTGTACGAGTTTGAGAACAAAAGTGGGAATACGCAGAAGATGTAACACGTAAAAGACTGCATCAAGCCCCTCGGCCGCAGCACAATGAGTGAGACTCAGCTCCCAAACAGCCGAGGTGCACATCTTCCAGCCATTTTCGGATCGAAGACTTTGTCCTTGCAAACTTCGCTTGAAAACGAAAAAGTTAAGGTATGATACGCTTCACAGGCTTGCCCTTTTAGGTTTGCGTGTTCAGGGCCTTGGGCTTCTGGAACCAAGGGAAAAAAGCGGCCTGACAGGTTCACATGATTTAAGCTCTTCTCCATCGATATGCGTGCGCTTGAAACAGCAATGTAGTAACTACCTACCCCCCACCCCACAACAGTTACAGAAACAGATCCCGAAGCCGAAAGCGGCCGTAGGTCCCAAGTGTGGCAATGGCAAGATCTAACCCTCAGATTGGACCTAGGCAGGCTCTGCGCTGCGCGAAAACGGTCAGTGCACTAGGTCTACAGATGTACTGTCCTGTTTCTATGCAGGTTACTGTACAATTGCTATAATGTTGCCATAAGAATACTAACTCCAACGTTACTACAATGTTGCCATCAGGCTACTATAGGTATAACAATGTTACCACAGCTTGATGGGACCCACCGACCATGCCAAATACAAGAATGATGAGGGCACAATCATCTTAATGCCGACTGTACAAACACTCGGCATGAGAATAAAAGAGCTACAGTAACGAGACTTGGATTCAAGCCCAGCATCCACTTGCCGTCATAGCTGACGGGATCGTAGCGGTATCTGTACACCTGAGTGGACGTCAGGGAGCAGACGAGATTGAAGCTTCGCGGGAGTCATGCACCCTGTTGAAGTGTTTTTAGAGCTTGGAGCTTGGGGCATATAGGGTTTAACGGTATAGGGCTTAGGAGTTTAGGGCGTGAGGAGACCATAACACTAATTACGGATCATGTTGGTAATGCTTGGAAACGGGCGACAAAGAGCTAGGTGCCTTACAGACCCGGTAGTGGCCTCATACTAATAATGAATAATTAAGCTTATAGTACCATGATGGTAACATGACAGTAACCTTCACAGTGACGCTACAGTTACCATCTAGCTACCTTTTGTTGTCCACCCGGTGCAGCACGCGCGCACACACACACACATGCGGAAGCTTACTTTTTTCGGCGAGGATGTGGGTGTCTGTCAGTTGCTCACACACAGCACTGCTGTCCCCACCGCAAGTGCCACTGCCCCAGGTCACCACCGTGCCGTCAGCCGCCACGGCGGCAAAAGCATTGCGGGTCGCCTGGATATGCTGCACATTCCTGAGCAAAACAGCGTGCATCCCACATGTCACATGTCTGGACGGTCACAACAAACATTGCACCCTAAAGCCCATCACAATGAATCACCCAATCCTAAATCCTTGCTCCTCAATCCAAAGCCCTGTGAAACCAAGCCCCAAAAAAAACACTCTTTGAGCTAAGACTCGTCAGCTGATCTCGCACAGCGCTGCAGTCACCACCCCGATCAGCAGCTCCCCATGCAATCACCGAGCCATCGCCCAAGAGGGCGGCAAAGGCACCGGAGGATGCTTGCACAAGCCGGACCTCGACTTCGGACAGGTGACTGCTTCAAGCTTCCGGATGAGAAATCCTAACTAAGATGCACCGTACCTAGACCTTCAGTCATGGGGATCTAGCGCCGCCAAGTCTCATCCCTCAGCTGTGCCTGTACTTTGGAGCTGTCCCCACCATCTGACGAATCTCCCCAGGTTACGACGCCTCGCCAAGTCAGGGCTCAGGATTTCTGGAGCAGGCTGGCTTGCCGAGACAGCGGTCACGGCAAGAGCCTTTTTGTACTGAGCCTTTAACCAAACAGGGGTCGAGTAGTGATCGTCGTCGCTTCTTCAGCAGTAGTAGTGGCAGTGGGCTGTTGCACTACAGTACTACTACTTCTACTACCAGCACCACCGCTGTTGCCACTACTAGCTACGACCACTACTACCACTACAACAACAACGACGACGACTACTACGACTACTACCACTACTAAGTAACCACTACCACTACCACCACCACTACCACTACCACTACCACTACCACTACCACTACCACTACCACTACCACCACCACCACCATCACTACCACTACCACTACCACTACCACTACCACCACCACCACCACCACAACAACTACTACTGCTACTACGACGACGACAACTACTAATTACTACCACTACTACTACTTCTACTCCTACTGCTGCT